ACACTAAAAAAATATAAATTTTACATGCTAATTTAGTTGTGAAAATTGGAAATTAATTGAATTAATTACAATGTTGTTTCACTATGTTTAATAAACGTATTTTCCGGTAATGGGACTTTCTAATCGGAGGCGTTAACACGTCGGAGCGTTTTAAAATTTTTCCCATTAATTTGTCAGCGTGACGAATGTGGAAATTTATACGCTAATTTATAATAACGCGCACGGCAGGGATTATACGATGTGTTTACAGATGTTCTGGTATAGTTTTACGATCATTTACGAGATTCTGTTGCGTTGTTTCACAATAAACGAATATCCGGAAATTTCCTTTAGATTTTCGGTGTAGGGTAGGGCGGGGCTAGTTGAGCAACTTTTCACTTTAGCGGATATAGCTCATCAATGATATGTGTGAATGACTTGTTATGTGGCTTGATGGATTAGTAATTTATCCCTTAACAAAAGTGTCCATAGTAACTTTTTTGTAACTAGTTGAATTTAAGAGCTACAGCTGTTTAAATGCAGAAAGTCAAGTATGCTCAATGTACCCCATAGGTGAGGTAAGTTGAGCAACGGTATGTTTACATATAGGATATGTTTATTTTTATAATCATCTCTTTATTTATTGTGATTTAGTGACAAAACAACAAAACTTAAAGTAATTTACGAGCTTTATGTTTAAAATCAGAATTAAATAGCTTAAAAAAATATTAATAATATATTAGCAAGTTTTGGTCGTTGTTACTGTTGCAATTAATACAAATGAAAGTAAGACCATAGCACCTGGAAGACATTTTATTTGTGCCCATTCCCTGCAAGCTTGGCAGTGAATCCAACTTTCTCCTGGTAAATTTCGCAGTAGTTGCTCAACTAACCCCAACCCGCAATTTTAAAATAAAAGTGAGGTCATAAAGAAATCGTAAGAATTATAACCAGAACATCTCTACATATCAAAAGTACAATAATTTTTTGGAATATTAACCCTTACCTCATTGAAAACGGATAATATTTGACTAATACAGACGAAAACTTGCGATAGACGACGTTTTTACTTTTTGGTCACAAAAAAAACAAAATGCACGGGGGCTTTACTCGCTTGTCGAGGCGCCACTTGCAATAGCTCTGTGATTAGGTCTCCCCCGACCCCTTCTTTCCGCCATAAGATGTTTATGCGTACGGTGAATAGTTTGCGAGATATTTCGATTGCACAACTTACCCGTATGCTCAACTAGCCCCGCCCTACCCTAAATGAAAACTCGTAAAATTTGGAATTAACTAAAACCGTTAAATGACCGAAATTGACTATTAAAAGAACCTCTAATTCTGAATAAATTGTCAAAAAATATTGAAAAACATCCTAAAAATGTAACCGAAACGACAATCTTGGATAAAACTTCACAAATTGCAATAAAATCCTCACATATCATGATTACTAAACTACCAAATAAAAATCCCTTCTCCAGCAAAAATCCTACAAATCCTCCAAAAAAATAGACGGGAGTAAATTGGGCGCAGAAATATATTTATTACCTACATTGGGAAAGAACACAAGTAGAGAATATGTGCATGAAAATACTTTGCTCTATTCTCAATCATCAAAAGAATTATTTTTGCATGGTTATTTTCCGGGGACTCTGTGCCCAATTTACCTAAAGGATTAAAATCTACAATCCCTTTGGCACCCAATTTACATCCGTTCAAAAACACGACCCTTTTGTAACAATTGCAGCATCGTAAATAATCCAGTTTTACAAAATTCTCTATCACCGCAACTTCCCAACTTTCTTCCCTCCACCAAACCACGTTGTCCCCGGCTTATTCGTGAGTATTTAGCAGAATTTTAAATCGCGAATATTTCTCGGTTTTGTCACCGAAAACCGCGCATAGAGCAACTTGCGCGTATTCGGAGATGTCAGACCCTCATCCGGGCCGGCTCCAGTAGCAGTTGCTTTTGAATAATAGTGCACATTTGTCGACACTGTTAAATTATTCCGATAGCAGCGACTGATAAACGACGTCGGGCGCAAATGAAATGGATGGACTTCCTTCGCCGCGCTTCATCCCGTCTCTCCGATGGCTCAATTAGCGTTTTGGGAAACAAGGCAATTCCTAGATGCTTGATTTATTATTGTTTGGCGTATTGGCGAGCGCGCCGGGGACGCGCTGGAAATATGGATTGTTTTCCGTTTTTGTTTGATTAATATTCGGGACCGAAGACGGGATTTATCGGACGTTTTAACGTCGCAAAAAACGCTAATATTTATACATTATCTCTGAAATCCAAGCATTTTTCAATGTCGCTACGCCGGGCAGATATTAACACTGTTTAATGGAGTTTTTATGTCGGCTCCGAAGCGATTACATATGGCGCTTCTTTGAAGATTATTAATACTCACGACCGGCGTGAAAAAAACTATCGTAAATTCGAATCCATCGAGCGGTGTTCGAATGGGTTTCGGGGATCCCGTATCTCGCATTGTTTCGTTCACACACGCATATGGGAGAATCCGGCGCCGTCCACATGGCAAGCATATGATTAACAAATTAACCATTAAATGAATCCTATTTTTTTGTACATTACTGGTGAATATTTCGTAGAAAAACTCGCGTATTATAAATACGTTTTTTAAGCCGCGCTTACTAATAATTAAAAACGCCCATGCTTTTAGTGTTCCTCCTACAATCCAAATCTTTTGTAAGTACTTAAAAAGCATAATAAGCAACAATGCAGGGCATTAGAATAGCTCTTTTCACGACCCTTCGTACAAAAAAAGCGTATACAAAAGGTTACTAATCTGATGTATTACATTATTTTACATAATTATATACTTTACCTGGTGGATAAAGTCAGGCAGGGCACCGAATTCGATACATTTCCGACAAAAAGGGCACGTGTCCATCTGTCTCTGTTACCACCGCAACGCTTTATCATATTTTAGAAGAAATTTAGTACATGAGCTCAAATATGTCAAACCTAAGTACATGAAATCTCACTTTTTTCACTTATAATTTTCATGCACTTAATACAATTTCAATTTCGATAGTAGCTAATTCCACAAACAATAGCTAATTACAAAATATTTTTGGTAATTAACTCAATATACAAACGTAAGCCTATAGACTATATTTTTAGGAAGTATTATCATTTTTCAAAAGGTTTTTGAGTCTATATTTTGCGCCCTTTGGGTCCGTACCTCCTTTTGTTACATTCGATGTAATCTATTCAAATTTTAATTGAGATTATCAAAGAAAGCAGCGTTATTTTTTAAAAGGCTTCACTGCGGGTGGTTATTTTCATTGAATAAAAACTTAATAATGCACAGTAAAAGAGTAGTATTCATTTTCAACAATGGGGTGACTATTAAGATAAAATCGATAAAAGTATACTTTGTCGAAAATCAAAGGAGACATTTTTCACTAAAAGTAGCATCTAAAAGCTTAATGGCTCTATCAATAATTCAAATGCAAATAAGTAAATATAAAAAGAATATATTAACGGAAGAAGAATTCTTAATAGACCCACTTCCATCTTATACAAAAACGTATTTCTGGGTTAAAACTTCCCCGTCTCCTCGAAATACATAAACACGAAACTGTAATAAAATTGAAAACTTCAATAGCGATATATCTTTCATCCCTCATAACGAACAAACGCAACTCAAAATTTATGTTTCTAATTCCAAGCGAAACTTTCTTATATCCCGAAAGGAAATCTTGTGCAGCGTCCATTAGCGAAATAGGTATTCTAATTCTGCTCGAATTCCTGATACACGCCAACGAATGAATATATCCCAGATACTGCAAGTTGAATTCCAACTTTGTGGATATTATATGTACAATGAAATTGGCTCTTTATTAAAAGCAATTAGGAGAAGTACACAGGCATAAGCAGAAGGTTAAACATGGATGGACACGAATAGAATGTTATGCGGAGGAAAATGTGCTCGCAAATGCAGTTTTCTTGGCGAAAAAATTAGATACTCTCCGGAAGGTAAACTTCGAATATGCTGCGTGAAAGGAAAATTTAATTTTGTTTGATAAACGTGCAAAAAATAGTCTAACAAAAACCAGGAAGTGGATAACAAAAAAATGAAATTTTAAGGGAACCTGATACGTATATTTCAGTGTACAGAAACAGATAATTCCACAATCTGCGATAACCAAGTAGTATAATTAACTGGACGTTTGTCTGGTTAATTGATTGATTAGCTTATCGCGTTCAATGAGATCAATGGGACAAAGACCCAGTTAATAAACATCTCGATTTGCTTGTTGGGTATAATTATAACAACACATAAGTAATAAGAAAAAACATTAAATTATTCTCAGTAAAAGATCGGCGTCGTTTCATCTTAACAATTTACAATTAAATTGTTGATGTATAGTATAGAAAATTACATATCAATTATTAATTGTTTGGTATAATGTACATTTTATCGATTCAGTATTCTTTTTTAATTCGCAAAAACGAGCCTCGCCGTATTCCTCGTATTTCCTTTGCCGCCGAACTTACATCCGAAAACTTGAAACGCCGGCGGAAGGAAACTTTGAACTTTCCTGCTTTCCATAAGTGGCTATATATTTGATCGCCAATTTCCATGATGAAAAGCGTATCTCGCCAAACAAAACTGCCATTATTTGCATGTGTATACCTAACTACGGTACGAGAATACCCCGACAGACAACTTACTTATAATAGCATTGTTGAATTATGTGCAGGGGTGGAGCGGCGGAGTTTATTTATACTCGATTTTTATACATGTATAATGTAGTATTTACGAGATGTAGGTGCATAAATTTTATCGGGACCGTAAAATGTAAATTCGACTGCAATTCAGCACCCCAAAAACATTTAATTAAATAGGATTCCAAGATTGCACATAAATTTCCCAATACTGTACAGATATTACTATGCAGGATCCGCGGGAGTCACAACATCCTGACCCTAACAGATTGTCCTTTGGAAGCAATTTCATGGGAATTTCCGACGATCCCCGAAACCCTCATTGTCTTAAGTCGAGCACCATAACGCAGAAGTTCTCCACCCACCCGAACGCCGCTCGGCTAAGTGTGAAAGCTTTTAACTTCGATAACTCCGGTCCCTTTTGCCCTAAATACGAAGCGCAAGAATAGTAAATTTTTATTTTTAATGTGCCGCCGTTTCCCACCTACCCGTAAAAGTAAGAGTATAAAACACGGAGGCCCTTATAAAAGGGACGATGAAAAGGACCGGACCAGCTGCTCCCCCGATACAAAGAGTTGCCAAGTATTCCTCAGCGCATATTCGTGGAAGAAGGTAATTGTGAGCTAGCCGACCAAGAAATCAAGTCGCAACCTTTTTTATGCTCGCTGAGGACGAATATTACCTAAGTCTTTTGTCGAGTGAAGTAAATGCATAATAGGATCCGTTTCGCTCGAGAAATCTCTGAAAATCTAGTTAATGATCCAATTTTCGACGACGTACGAAGTGCCTCGAACGTTCCAAATTAATTGTTTAATTATTATTAAAATTCTCGGATGCTAGTGGGAAAATCAAACTTTACGACAAACGCCCCTACAGCGACTCCACTATATTGCCAGCTTTTTGTTCTGGAATGCGCGTTCTTATCCAATAACGTCAGCATTTAGTATCAGCGGGCGATCCAGACATTTTCCAGAACCGAATCCGCCGTGAATCATAATTAATTTTCAGCCAGAAACTTTCACCGGAGTACATCGATTAGATGATCTTCTTTTAGAATCGTGTGGAACAGTCTCCAGAAATTTTTATAAAATTTATGTAAATGCGGTAGAAAATTTATATCCGATAATTCAAGCACTTTTAAAAAGTCGTGGAAAATATGTTGCCTACAAGTGCACTCGAGATTAAATTCACAAATAATCGGGGATTAATTAATTAAAGTTTCCCGCCTCATCAACCGAGTACATCCCTGTAAGAGTGGATGCGAAGAAAAGGGACGCCTGGCTTCTTTGTTTTACTGTTTGCTCAAGATTTATTGCATATAAGGGAATTGTCTTTGGGACACATCTCTCGGATATCTGCGATTCTTAAGTGGGCATTCTTCTTGCAATTGATACGTTGTAGGACTGCGAATTGCTAATGCAGCTATGACTTACCGTAAGACCGGGGAGGAATATTGGACGAATAAATCCGGTTTCCTATATTTGGGGGATCGCTTTTATTAGCCCTTACCGACGATGCTAACATACATTTTTAAATGGATTTCAACGATATAATGCGTTATGTTATAGCTTGAATTTTTAAAATAATTTATGTTTAGTAGAAATCTTTACAATATACCTACCTAAATTAGGTTACAATTGATGACCAGCGAAGTTATTATACATGAGAACTTGCTCTGGATTGATACCCAAAAGCGTTTATTTAACTAAAAACAATGTGTATCCGGGAATAATGGTCGTATAATTAAAGCCAAACAAGGTTGGTAAATCCTTGAAAAGTAATAGGTAGACTATTAACCCAACTGTGCCTAAACCCGAGACCAAATTAATTATTCCCTTTATTTAAGGGAAAGTGGAATTATCTTCATGCCTTACTTATACATATTCAGGTTATTTGTAATACCTGTGCGAAATTATCCTCCCAAGTGGGGAGTTTAGACGTCGCTTTGCGCAAATATTGTTTTTGGATTTATGGACCGATTTTACGGATTTATTTACGTTGTTTCGTTAAGATTTCCCCAAAGATATACAACATTTATACGTTAATATAACTAACCCATCGTATTATACACATAAATGCGATCCTATTGTATTTATTAATGTTTTCATTGCGTACGAATTTTTGATGCGGGGTCAAAATTCATTTTGCGGCTACTGTCAAAAAGTAAACAAACAGCCGGACAGGAGAGGATGAATATACACCCGTATAACGTCAACATCAAATCCAGCCTGAATTAGTAAAAAGATTGGGATCGCAGGGAAAGAGAAAAAGGGGAGAGAATCGGAAACTGCAGAAACGACGAGGAGAATGGGAATCCTATAAATCTTTAATTCGAATTAAATATGCATGTCCGAAATCCGAGTTTAAGGTTCATCTGAGTTTAGGACTCGGCTAGCGTTTACTCAATCTTTCACCTTTATGAAGACAAAGGAGTCGTTGATTAAATTTTCCACGGACTGAACCGGATAAACGCCAGTTTAAGGGTAATATAATGCGTGTTACTGTTTTGTTTAGGCAAATGTGCGGTTGGATTTTGAATTAAATTACTGAGACGGGAAAATGAAAGAAAAAAAAAAACTAACACTACTTACTACTACAAGATTTAGTTAAAGTTGTACTATTATTCAATTGTGTAAGTTTCCTTATTTCTACTGGGTAAATTTTTATTTCTGTTTAGCTCGCAAATAATCCAAATCTCCGGGAAACCTCTTTTCAGCTCGAGCGTTCTCGTAAAATGGGAAAGGTTTTCTTTAAACAGGAATCTTTTTCGCCAGAAATTCGCCAAATCGGTAAAAAATAAACTCTACAATAAAACCAGAAGTACACGCTCTGAAAGGGAACTATTTCACAATATATCACTACTGTACACTGGTAAAAGTGGCATTATCGCGTTTTTTATACGAATAAATTAAAAATAGTAGGGTAGGTATATGTATAAGGAATCTACTAGACTAGGTTTCCTAGAAAAATTAATTATCATTGAAGGTTATTTTTAAGAAATCGTCGAGAACTCATTAAAATAAAATTCCAATAAAAACGCATCGAATATTAATTATTTTCAGTGTAACATCCAAGAAACTGGCGAAGATATCTTGACAGCTAAATCTAACGGCGTTTCCTGAGTTGAAATGCTTACCGATGTGAACTGCCATTCCCGTTGTTTTTTTACTTATTTTAACGTCGCTCGTTCGCTTTTTTGCTTATTTGGTTAATTACGTTAGATAGGAAGTATGATAAAATGTATTTCTGAAGTTGTTTTCGCGATTTTCTAAGAACGCCAGTTTTCTCGTTCGTTCGTTTCGAGCTTAATTTGAGTCGCGGGAGTTCAACTGCAATTTACCCTATTAAAAAAACTATACTCGATTACTGGAAGAGCGAAAAAGCCAAAATAAAAATCCCAACAATCGGATTTTTTTAATAAAAGCGAAAACGGTCGAAATGAATAATTATTCCCATTAATACCACTTGTACACACTAATGAACATTAACCGGCCCATCATTTGTATTTGTCCACGGCCTTAAACTTCAGATAGCCGGTCTCCCGAAATGGATAAATTATCTTAAATCATTTTTTACCCTCGTCGCGACCCCGAAAAAATCTTCTTTCGACCGCAAAACCATCCCGGCCAGATAACATCATCTCTTGATAAATGATAGCCAGTCGTGAAAAATAAAATGAAATTCATTAACTCCTAATCGTCGGGTGTTAAAACGAACTTTGGTTAAATGTATTCGTGCAGGTGCTTCGATCGACTTCGGGAAACTTACAGCTTTGTATAATTGCGCAGTTAAAGGCGAGGAATGAGATGATAGAGCGGCGTTTCGTCTCGAAACGTCGTTAAACGGGTGTAACTGCAGCGGTTGTACCGCCAGAAATTAATGATCGCCATTGTTCGTCGAGGGTGGGTAGAATATCTTCTTCTAAAGATAGCCAGGACCGATACAAATCGCCCAGACGCAACGTAGAGGCGTCGAACGTCTACTGATTTGTCTTTCTGTTGCATACGCGTGTTATTACCGGAGGTCCCATTCATTCGATTTTTCCCGCAAATCACGATAATCCATCACCATTAACTTAGTACACAGGGTAGTATAAACAAGAACGCCTAGCAGGCGCAATTTTGTATTTTACACACGTGCACTGTATCTATGAAAACATTGTTGTGGGTACAGAATATATGCGCTTACATATAGTTTACAGTTAGAGCCTCTCGTAAATTAAACGCGAAATCCTATCGCCGGTGTCAAATCAGGACGGCTATAACAATTTAATTTTAATATACGAAGGTAACTTATCTGCGGGATTAATCTTGTACACATTTAATTTGTTTGTCGGAGATAGAGGTCGCTGTACGGACACGTACAACACTAATTAGTCGATTAAAACTTTAGTACAACTTTCGTACAACTCCGGAACTCCGGTCAGTCATTTGTTATTTATCAAGATAAGGTTTCTAATGGTGCGGAGTGTATTTCCAGAGGTGAAAGCGATTTTTTGTCATTAGTAAATGGCTGGAAGTCGGGATCCGCGGGGAATTTCCCCATTGTTTGTTTCCGCCGGTTTTTGAAAAATTCGTCGAATAGACTGAAGTTTATAGAGAAGCGATGATTCTTAAGGTGTAAACAGTAAACAAACGAATCTGTGGTAGGTATTATACAAACACCTCACGAAGCAAGTATACAAATAAACAAGCAATTCAATGACATCTTCATCTTCATCGATTGGTAGTCGACGTGAACATGTTTATTCGAGCACCCACCGAGTTTCGAGAATACCGCGCATGGGAAACCGATACTTTTTAAATATTCACGCGGCAATGAAAGAAAAATACCTCAATTTGCTTTCAATGTCAATAGAAACTTTACAATTCCTTTGATTTATGTGCCTCACTTTGCCATAATTAAAAATTCAATTTACAGAACAAACACAGATGGAACCGATCGAGAGACGGATGCTTTCAAATATTTGTGCAAGCATTAAAGACGACGTTGTCCTCGATTTGCGGTCGCAAAAGGACGACAAGCCGAGCAACTCGGACCTCTACGAGTGATGCACAAGCCTTAGAATTTATCGCATTTAGAAACTGATTATTTGGCAACGACCGTATCGCGCTGTTATTCTCTTTGCGGTATAATAATTTTCATCGAACGCGACTTTGCGAGCCCCACCGGTATCGAATCCGCAAAGGACAAATCATATTTATGGGCAATACGTGAATTAAATTGTCCGATCGAAAACCCGACAGATAAATCTCGCTCGAATTATAATCGAAATTGATGGATCAATTTAACGCGCGGATCATTAGGAGAGATTGAATCATTCAACGCGATTTCGATTCGGGAATGAAATTTCCAGCGACTTACCTTTAGCTAAGTGCAGACAAGCGCAGATCGCTAGTTGTCGAAGGACCGAAGACCAATCCATCGTGGAATTCTTCTCGCAGAAATTTCTATTCGGAATCTCCGGCGCACTTTTTACATTTCATTAAACTGTTTATTGCCCACTGTTGCACTCCAGTCATAATAAGGTTATTTGTACGGGTACAGTCATTAGGTGAAAATCGATAACAGGTGCATTTTTGTTTATTAGAGTTGCGTTAATAATTCATTGCGTTGGATATGCGGTTGATTTTTCCATGCGGTGGTTACGCTGAAAAATAAAAAATAATATAAGTGTATTGGAATCACATCGTTTGACAGCGGTATGTAAACATATTTCTCGCATGATTACTATCCATTTGAATGAATCGAAAATCGTCGATACATTGAAGTTGATAGAGCAGAAAAAGAGAATTAATCCGTCATCATTACTGACAGAATAATTAGAAAACAATCATGCACAACATATTACTAAAGTTCAATTAATTCATTTGATTTGTTTGATCGATCGATTTATCTAATAAGTTAAAAATTTGTGTTTTTAAAGTTTCCCTTATACCTAAAAAGCGTACATTGATTTGATTTTATCGGCTGTGTAGGAAAACAGAAGTACCCAAGCACCTCTCGACAACAGAGACTAATTTTTATTAATTTCTTTATCGAGCTCGTTCGTTTCTAATATTTTAGTTAATTAATTTTCCCCTCGGAAAGGCTTTATAAAAATCATCGGCTCCACCACAAAGCCAAAGAAGCCTTTGAAATCTACTAACACAAAAGATTACTGGAACATAAAATGAAGAAAGACTAAAAATAAAAAATAAAAATTAAGCCTTGCAGAAACTACCTAGAAAAATATATCTTTAGGTATATAGGCACTTATAAGCACTAATAAAAATATATGATATTAAGTATTCTCTTTAAAATTTCGTCGGAACTGAAGTTGTAGAGTTCAAAGCACTTACTTTCTAATTAAATTCGTTTGTTGATTTTGCCAAATGATTTTTTTTTCACAACGTTTTCATTTATTTTTGGACCATCCTGTTTATTTTAAATTGCGTCTAGGCGTTTCATAACGCCTTTTTGGATGTGTAAACGTCGAGAAAACGTGAAAGAAACCAGTTTTTAAACGCAATTCATAACGCAGCATAATTCCAGAAGCGACGAAAGATTGAAATAAAACCGTTCACGTGATTTACGACATATATTTTTACATATTTATCAATATTTATTTAATGCCGGTCATTAAAAAAGTTTTAGGTCGAAAGTAAGTAGTGTGTATTACCCACTTTATTGGAAAAATCGGAAATTTACATATAAATTGATACGTTCAAGTGCGTATGAAGCCGGAATTTTAAATTTAATTGATACGTTTATTACTGAAATTACATAGTAGTAAATATTTCTGTATATCGAATTTATAGTTTACAATTTACATATTAATAATTACAAGTTTTTCAAAGCGTTTTTTATTGGATACGAAACTTTAATAAATCTCCCGAGAATGATGTTAATTAATTTAACCTGAAAGTAGAAAATACTGAAGAAACTTTACCGAAAAAAATATCAAGTCAATAACTTCGAATTACATATATTAAATTGTTTGTGATTCTTAATTCTCTATGCAAATAAGTTCAATTTTATTGGCGCCTTCATTTTTCTAGTAATTCTATCTCGTAAAAGCAATTATAATTCGTTCAATTAATTAATTAAAACATCTGTTTTTTCATGTAACACATTGTTATACAAGATACATCGTAAATGGTTCTTTAAACTCCATAAAAAATTTACAAGAACATTTATTAAAGGGGACAATATCGCTCTCAGGGCGCTCAAACGTAGACATAAATCCAGGTATTTTTTTTTCAACAAAACGCCATCCCAGACATACATCGAAGCATTATTATCCACGTGGACGTCCGACCGGTCATATTTCTGGTTTTGCGGTAATCGAAGCATTATCAGGATTTACGATCTGCCCCTATTTCGTATTTCGTATTCGCATTACCACCCCTTGCGAATACCGCGCTAAACAATCGCAATCGGGGTGGATCCAGCGCAGGACTATAGAAAAAAAATTTTTTGAATAAAAAAACACCCTTATCGTCACCCCAGCACGCCCAGAATTCCGCGGATGAAATTAAATAACTTGAGAACTGGCCGTTTCCGATAAATTTTTATTGAGTTAAGTATATCAATTAGAGGGAGGATTAAATTCCAATTAAAATTCCCGGCATTTCGAAGCATTCTAATTGAACTTTTATGCAAAATAAAGCAGAAGTACCTGATCGAATTGGGCTAATTCGGCTCTGTGTGTGTACAAAAGTACGCTATGATTCCCTGGGACAACATTGAATAGCAACTTTGTATCGGAAATGCTCGATCTATCGATGGGGGCCAATATTTTCGTCTATTGTTATCTATTTTAGTCATACGTTGGATAGAAATGATAGAAATTGATTTCTGTTCCCCGGAGTCACAGTTATTACAATAACCATTGTGAGACACATCAGAAATTATAATTTCACGTAGGTCTTTTAGTGTAACGAAAAAATTAACGAGTGAAACTGTGAGAATATAGACTGAAAAATATTTCCCTATTTTTTGTTTGTGCATGTTCTACCCGGACTAACAGTAGGTCTTGGCTGCATAACAAATAAACCCAGGACATGCTCCTATTCTTCTCAGTTGTTTCTACCAGCGAGCATTCCTGATATTCCTAATATATCATTTCTAACAATGCACTGGTGTATGTGCCGTACTTAAATTAGAAGTCTATAAATTTCATTCGGTGCAACGATGGTTTATATGATTTAATTATTTGCTCCTAGCAAATATAACGGTATTGAATTAACTGGGTACACTTGTGTAGGTAGTTTCGACCAATTAAAAATTTTTAACTTATTTATATTGCAAGCGGAAAAGAAAATACGTGTAATTTCGGAGAGCGTGCGATAAGATTCTTCGTTTTTAATAAAATATTTACTAATCTTGCACAACTACCTTGTCAAATAGATAACTTAATTTATGTTTGAACAAGAAAACTAGCTGCAGCAAAAGGATGAAGAAACTTTTGTGCAATAAAATCATATCTAATTATCGGCAGTTATCGGAGATTATTTCATTTTTAAAATAGGAAAAATAGCTGCATTATTTCACACGAAAGGTCGATAAGATAAGGAAACACTTGAGGTGGAAATTTATTTTTAAAATGCAATAAAACCCACGATTTATTTTAACAACCACTGCCGTAACCGAGACTAGTCTGGCCGATAAACCCCACGTATAAACCGAATGAATTGTTATTTATACTTTTCCTTTTACTTCTTTTGTAAGAAGCGCCGCAATCATTAAATGGTCAATAATTTAGAAAAAAAAACCGATTTTCACTGAGCTTTATTTAATCAGGTTTATATCGCCGATAACAGATTGATTAATATGTAATCATTTATTTCCCTTTAAAAATTCTTGTTGATGTTTGTACATTTTTGGAATGCTATTTAGATAGCTACGAACATTAATATTTATTTGATCGTTTCCAATAGTATTCTCGATTTCTGGCACATACGGAACGTTTCTCGACGAGTTTGTTAGCTAAATAACGAATTTTGTGGAATCCTCGGAAATGAAGAATCGTAATGAGAGCTGTACAATGGTCGAAAACAATCTAAATTTAGAAAACCGACAGCCAATTAACTGCAGTTGTTATTGTTAGAATCGGAAACGCCCTTATAGATCTGGAGGAGATAATAGATCGAAGCATTTCTTGGCTTCCGAACGAATATAGTTGAAGGCCTTGCTAACGAATTTCCTACCATCAGCCCGCTAAGTGGTCGAACTGGAAAATTTTGTTCAGAAGTCTAATTACGAGTTAGGGATTACAAGACAAACAAGCACAGAGCGTTCTGAGACCAATGAGATTAAAAAATTTCTACATTGTGGTGATGGAAATTTTAAGATTTCATAGTGAACTGAGCATAAAAAATTGAACGCTTTTCAATATTTTTCTAGATTAAATAATGCTTATAATTTTTGCCTATTTTTTATTTTATATTTTTTTGGTTCGGGTGGTATTTTTTTACTTATCTTACCCCAGTAAAATCTTACCCATCAGGTGGGATACTTTGTGCATGTTACGAATTAATAAGAGTAGGTGTAGGTGGAGGTATATTAATGTAATTTATTGGTATAATTGATTTCGTTGAAACACGCATTAAAAATTAAGCAGTAAAAAACTCCCACTAATGAAATATAGCGCCCATTGTAAATTACATTACATAATAAATTTATCGAAACAATCTATAAGTAAAAATACACTTTCAAAGCATGCCAGTTTGAGTTGAAATTCGTTTTCCAAAAAAAAAATCAAAAAATCAAAAAATTAATATGTGATTCAACAGAAAAAAAAACCAGCGGTCTTTAACCCCTGCTCCCATCAAAATTCAGCAATTCGCTCAATCAACCCTCAAAATCTCCGGGTCAAACCCTTCCTAGCATGCTCGCCGACCACTAATCATCGAATCTCATCACTCGCATGCATCCACCCAAAAAAAAAATCCGCTCTCTCCCGATAGTCACCTGTGCTTTCCAGCGGAGCTGCCCCCGAATCGCCACCGCACTTCTCTCCAACCGAACAAACCAAAAACTCAAAAACGGCCTCGTGGATGCGAACACGACGCCGACCGCATGCGGCACTCTCCGGACTACGCGAGACACTGAAAGCCTGAAACCGAAAACGGAATCGAATCGCCGACTAGTCACAGCATAGCACCCTCTGCCGTCCGTGAATGATCCTTTTCCCCCTCCCTCGACGGGCCGTACGGGGATGAGACCGTGCTCGGGACTCCGCGCTCGGAACTACTACCCCTAAACGCGTAGTGGAGGCGGTAGTTTTCGCCCGGCTCGTCTCTTTCGACAAGCAGGATCGTTATCCTTATCAGTATACAATTTTTACCCTTTATTCCATTCGGCTGGACTTTTGCTCCCTTTCTGATACCCCCAATCAATTTTTATAGGTACTAGGTAGTTAGTCCTTGGGCTCTTCCTGATGCTTGTTAGAAACCAATACATCTTTTTTGCACCAATAGACTTGGTTTGGTCAATAATCCATACCAATACCTTTCGGATTCAATTAATTCCACCTCCTGGCGAAATTTATTAACAATAATAAGGGACCTTACGGTGATGTAGTTGACTTATAACGTTAAGCGCTTTATATATGCGGAGCAGGAGAACTCCGATTAGGGAGATTTAAGCTCCGGCGATGGTAATGCAAAGTAGTTCGAAGCTCATTGCCCCGCCGATAGTTAGTTCAATAGCGAACGGTTAAATGAGTCTTGTTTTGTTGTTTATAAATTGTACTCGACGCGCCTCAGGAGCCGAAGAGACGGCGGCTCCCCCTGGTTGAGGCCCCGTTTCCATGCCAGACACGTTCCTGCTTACGGACCGTTGCGGACCGTAAGAAAAGCAACCTTATTAGAAACGGCGGTGGAAAATTGCACCCCCCAATTCGATTTTAAGTGCTTTTGTATGTTTGGTATGTTTTTTATAATCCAGCAGGAATTGGTGGTACTATTACTTGCTGAAGTTTCCTGTTTGTTTTAATGCAAAATTATGGAATAATGTGTTAACGATAAAAGTAATACTAATAGAAATTTTTGAAAAATCTCTTTCCAGGCGATTCGAGTAGATAAGTATAAACGTATATTTGAGTACTAAATCCGGGATGAGAGTATTCTATTTTCCGGCGAACGCAGGTACAAAGCAGGAAATTCGGATTAGACGGGAAGCGATCGTGCAATTGCGATTTATCGCGAACACATCGAGTTTTCCGCGTTTTCCTCTCACTTTCTCTGTCAGCGCGCCCGAAGGAAAGATTCCAGCTGCCAGACGTGGATTTTTCCTGCGTTTGAAATCTTTAATTTTGCTCTCTTATCGTCAGCGGAATTGCAAAACGCGGCGCTTCTTCGGCTCTTCTTATTGTTGCTGGTCGGGCTGCCACTCCGCTTTATTGAAACAATCTGCATGTCGGTTGCGGGAGCATCTCTTCGATGTATTCGGGAAATGTTCGTCAAACATTTATTGTTTTCGCTGCCTTCTTTTACTGCTTCTAATAGAATTTCATAATTTATGGGCTACTAAACGATAGACCGTAATTATATAAATTTTTTCGAAGGGCCAGTTTTTGTGATGGCCGGTAAAAAGGGCACGAAAACCGGTCCTGCAAGGCGGTGTCGGCGGTTAATATAATTCATTAACAGGGTTGTTGCCGCCGCCGGCGGGCATAAGTGGTTATGACTTCAACATTTTGTTAGTTACATTTGTGTGGATGACGTACATTTGTCAGGATATTTACACGTCCCCTTCACATGAAATTTTCATTAATGGCGACTTCAGCCGTTGCGAGACCGCGAAAACAACGGCATGAAAACTGAAAACTTCAACGAGTACAGCGGTAAAATATCCAGCGCTCGTTATGGAATTTTAATGGCATTTCGATATATCCCATACGAATTAGCGGAAGGGTGTTTTGCAAATATAAATTTACGATTTGCGTCAACTTTTCCAATCTCGTCGGGGCCCATTGGGTTTCCAAGGCAACGGAACTTAACTATTAACCTGAACCGATACCAAAAATCGAATTGCATTCTCATTAGGTTGTAATCACTGGCGGGGCGCCGAGTTTCATTACAGGGGGGAAATGGCGCCATAAATCTAGTCCTGTTCCCTCTTCTCTCGCCCCTGTCCCTGTTTCCTTATCCTCGTACAAACTTTTCCTGCAGGTACGGCCTACGCGCAATCGAATTAAACGCAACAAATATAACTTGAAGCTGTTACAGAGCGATTGGAATACATGCTTAGTTGATATTTTTATACTAAAATAGAGTTTATTTAGATGATTGTTTTGGATTCAAAATTTTATTGTTTCGACTAGTTTTTCCTAACGCCGGCTCTTCGCTAAACTTTTCCGTATAATAAAGGCAACATTTTCAAATTGAGGTGCGTATATCAAAGCAAAGTTTCCTTATCGGCGTTTTTAGAATAAAGTTTAGGGAAATTCGGTTTTCCCACGGGGAAGTTTATCGTATTATACACAATATCATATAAAGGCCTACAGGTAGCAAATTTTTGATTTAGGAATTTTGTTCCCACACCCGAATCAATAAATTTACCATAAACTTCAAAATACCGGTACCCTATTCAATTCAATGTCACCCCTCTATTTAGATATTTAGCTAAGTAATGAGTAAATTGCGAGCGTAATTACTTCGGTACACACGTACATGAAAATTTGAAAGTTTCCAAATCAGTTTGCGAATCTGAAAGAAAGTTCCTTCTTCCGTTGAATAAACAAGAGGGAGTCGATAGCCGAAGTTTCCAAAGGGAAAGTTATGGAAACGTCCCTAACGTCGAGGCGGGGGGCGGCGCGGGGTGGGCTCAACCTCTGCAAACTATCCGAAACTGGCCTGCAAATTGCCGGTAACTGTTTTGGCCAACAATCCGGACAGAACGAGCCTTGAAATTCTGATTAGAAACGTCATGAATTTTTCCCGTGCGACCATACACTATTAATTGAAATGAATTATTTCTGTATACTACAGCTATTTTAAAATATTATTATACATTGATATGGGTTGGTAAGAAGTATGTAAAAAAATATGTTTATGAATAAATTATCCTGAGGATCCTGTAGGTTTTCACTGGTATGCTAAAATAATGAATAATTTAAGCAATATACTTTTTCACTGATATGTAAAATGTATGTAAAAAAATCTTCACTTATATTAGTTAAAAAAGTTGAGGTGTATGGACGGTCAAAGCCAAAACTAACTTTCCTGCTAGCTTGGTGTTGGCGTTTACTTTCTCGAGAAACCGAAAGAGCTGATGGGCATGTTTCGTTTCCCTATTTTTTTATTTTTGTTCCGATGAACCACAGTTAATGAAAACCGTAAGAAAAACATTTAATTACGAACCAGAAGACGCGTACAGCGCGCGATATTGTAAAGTTCGGCTTCGACGTTAAAAGGCTAGAGTTCAGTACTCACAAAATATTTTTTCGGAAATTGCAAAACCTGTCACTTTATTTCAGAAAATTGTCAATGTTTCTCTCTACTTTTATGCACAAACATTTCTCTCTACTTTCATGACCAACATTTTCTCCCTACTTTTATGCGTAAAATTTTCTCTCTACTTTTATATACAAAATTTTCTATCTACTTTCATGAGCAACATTTACTCTCTACTTTTATGCATAAAATTTTCTCTTTACTTTTATGCACACATTATTCTCTCTACTTTCTTCAACAACATTTTCTCTCTACTTTTTTGCACAAAATGTTCTCTCTACTTTCATGAACATTTTCTCTCTACTTCAATTTCATAAACAAATTTTAGGATTTTTACACACTTTTTCATACTGAATTCTAGTCTTAGAGATTAAAAAAACAAGTTTAAATTACGTCTAATTGCATGGATTTCCGGCGGCACTCCTAGCGGAATTGAATAGCACCTATCGAATATCAAGGGAAACAGGAGCCCCCGTCGCCGCCGAATCGCGACAAAAGCAAGCCATCGGGACGCCCCGAGAACGAGGAGCGAGAGCGCGTTCGGTAATCCAAAGGCGGCCTATCGAAGGCCCTTCAGTCAAAAGGGCCGAAAGGGTTAAGTCCGGGATCGTAATTAGTAAATGAGCTGCGACTTTCGCAGACGTTCCCGCACCGTCGCCGGATTGAAAATCTCCGGAGTTAATACAATGGCGAGATTTATGGGTCTGTCTGCGCTTGATAACGCTTATACAATGTACTTTCCCTTTCGGATTTTACTGGATTCGGTTTTCCTTTTCGGCTGAACTACTGGCACTTTCATGGAAATCGAGACGACGGCCTTTGTTTGCTCTCATTTCAATGCTTACTTACATTTCGGGAGTCATTCTTCCCAAGTGGATTAGGATATTGTTCCGCTAAATTCCTACGCTTTTCGAGTTTTATTCCCTAATAATTGAGTTCATATTCCGCGACTCCATTGAAATAATATCTACGCGAGCGTAATACATCGATGATTTGCATGGTAATTAACATCAACATCGACGACACTACAAATACTCGCGTGTCTAAACGCATCGCATAAAACAAACGTAATTAGTAGCAACTGCATAATATCCAGCCCGGAGGGGTTTTGGGTTTAAGTGTCGCGCACTCCTCTCGTCTCTCACCTCGAATTTCAAATGGGAATCGCTATTGAAGTCGACAAAACGAACACAAACTGATACGGTCGGATTGTAAAAGGAGCCACCTGACACTAGCGAGAGGGCTCGTTTTTGGAATAACACCCCGAAGGCGTGCAGCATGGTCGGCGCAAGAATCGCTCGGGGATTTCGCCGGACCCCCGTCGGCTACGGGAAGCGTTTGAAATGCGATATAGGGGTACTAGAGAGTGGAATCCCCATCAAAATAATAATACCTTTTTGGGTGGTACTTTATCCTTAATCTCTAACCGGAGTTTCACACCGAAAATTATATCTTATACCTAATTAAGGTACCAATGTACCATGTACAAGCTTTGTAAAATAATTGCTTAATTTTAATTCTAAATATGGGAAACACCATAAAAAAAATTTCCGAATACACGCAACAATAGACAGGTATGAAAGCTGCATACGGTTTTTTTGCGCTCACGCAATTAATTACTGCATAA